CATTTTATACAGGGCGATTTTGCTTTATGGATGCCATCTAGTGATAAAAAGATTTATTATTTTATATTAACATTATTGTAATTAATTTTTCTGTTTATATATACTTGAAAATATATTATTGTACAATTTTGAAACAATCGACCAATAGTAGAGAATTGTTTTTGTTTGATTAACAAAATGTCTGGGAATTAAATAGGATTTATATAGCGCGCTCGGGTCCGATTTGAACGTGAATTATTTTTGCTATCGGAGTGTTCGTGCCTGGGCCAAAAGGGCCAATTGCGTATTCATTTGTTATACGTGATAAACTGTTACAGGGCTGACAAAAACACTTCGTTGTGGTTCGACCGCGGAACACGGCAAAATAATTCTATTACAGTTTATTCAACCTCGTCAAGCACTTGTGCCTGTTCCCGCTTGTATTTACGCATAAATTAATTTTACGATTAAATCAAATGTCGACGTCGGGATGAGATCTTCGTTAAAGTTTTCATCAAGCCGCGTCAACTACAAACGCCTTCGCGGAAATCGATAAATCGAGAGACATTAGGTTACATTGGTCGTTGTTTGTTAGCTTTAACGGCGCAAACTTTCGTCTTATGTAGTAAACCGCTTGGTTGGCGTTTTCAGTAAAAGTATCTCTCTTAAACTTGATGATAGATTGCCCGCAGGAAGTGCAGCAATTAAAAAGTAGCTCTTTTCCTTTTTTCCTCACTCAAGGTCATTTATCAAAGATTCACTCGCATTACTACTACTTCTATTTACGACAGAAACATTTTTTTCGCCTTCCTCTCTTATAACTCAACTAGCAAAAAAAGAGCAAAACCTTTCAAGTAACACACACATGTACCAACCCAACGTGTGCCAGACGGAGACTTCCTACGCATACGAAATCACCTCGAGAATCGTAGCTAAGCAACCAGCCACCGCAACGCATCACCAAACAGCTTTGACATGCGTGCCGAGTAACTTGATTCAGGTTCGGAGCTTTGGAAAACGCGCATTTACTCAGGAGCTGTAGCTTTGAAGGAATCAGTTTTTGTTTCATACATCGACGTCAACATTCGACACAAAATCCGACAGACAGACTCTCTCTAATTACTAATATCCATTTCAATTAGATTATTGTTTCGTTTGATGTTATGAGCAACCTCAAGGCTAATTTCGTAACGCTATTAGGCGAATGTAATTTAATGTTATGGTTATTCAGAAACTACAACACCTCTATGGTCATGTACAGTTATGTACCTCATCTTAAAATTAATCCAATCCTGAGTATATTTTTTTGTTAATATTAATTTGATTTATAATATGTGATTTGAACAATTTAATGTTTGATTTGTATTCCAAATCGGATTAATATCAATATTTAAAATTCTCACCTCAGTAAATTACAAATATGTCCAATGAGGTTCATAGATGAATTTGGGACCTGATTAATTATTTCACCGTGATTTCCGGTTTTAAGGAATATTAAACAATATTTGCAAATTTTAATACGTAACAAGTAAAACATTCGTTGTATTTGAACGAGGAATACAATACACCGACCGGTATAGGTTTTATTTTAACCGAATTTGTAATAAATATCCATATTGTCATGAATAATACATAAAAATCTAATAAACGGGAATTAAATATAAAATCGAAATACATTTTGATTTAATACTAAATAATAATTATGAAGAAATTTTTTGTCATCATTATGCAACCAATATCACACTATTCGTATTGCGTATTAATTAACACACTGTATATTAAAATTTATTAAAAAACAAAGTGTTAAATCTTGTCACCATGAAAATCCTCTTCAAAAAAGATTGGTGATACCACAAAGCGGTTTCATAGGCCGTATATTTTTTTCATGGCACCGTCAACGGGGTTGAAGATATCGCAATAATTTATAAAGGCCCTTTATGCGGACATTTCCCGTGCGATAACACCGACGAGCACGCGCCCCAGGGACAATTACATCCTTCTAAACATTCTTTGAAGGCAAAATCCAATTAAAACGCACTGACACGCGTTTTCGCACCACCCCGCATATAATTAAACTTCGTTATTTCGTTACGACTATTTTATTATTACGAAATTCGTTATAAAATTTTTTTGCAAGCATCTTTTTTTTGTTGCTGTTATTTTTAATGACCGTATGAAATTGTATCGACCTGTAACAGCGATGAATTCGTTAGTTCATCAACAGGTCAATTTGATAAGGTATTATTTTCGTAATTAACCGATTACGGTTTTATTACAGTTTATAAACTTGTTTTATGTTGTTAACTAACTACATTTTTTATTTCATCACATATTTTTATATTATATATATATTCTGACCTTAGTATTTAGCGTTCTGCAAACAGTTTCAAGTCCTCTGGGAGTAGTATTTAACCCTCTACAAGTAGTATTTAGTATTTAACCTTATGCACGTGGTATTAAGTCTTCTGCCCTCAGTACTTAGATATCTGCAAATAGTAACAAGTCTTCTGGAAGCAGTATTTAACCCTCTACAAGCAGTATTTAGCCTTCTGCACGTGAAATTACAGTTTATAAACTTGTTTTATGTTGTTAACTAACTACATTTTTTATTTCATCACATATTTTTATATTATATATATATTCTGACCTTAGTATTTAGCGTTCTGCAAACAGTTTCAAGTCCTCTGGGAGTAGTATTTAACCTTCTACAAGTAGTATTTAGTATTTAACCTTATGCACGTGGTATTAAGTCTTCTGCCCTCAGTACTTAGATATCTGCAAATAGTAACAAGTCTTCTGGAAGCAGTATTTAACCCTCTACAAGCAGTATTTAGCCTTCTGCACGTGGTATTAAGTCTCCTGGAAGCATTTTCAAGTCGTCTGCAAGCAGTATTAAGTCTTCTACCCATACACGTAGCTGCAAAATCGCATCTTTCTGATCGATATTTTAGAGTAAAATAGAAAAACGCTTATTCACCACTACATGAAATACGAGCCGGAGTTCCCAAGGAAATCTGATTCAAAGATTCCAGAACAAAGTACTAATGTGCATAGTGAATGCACTCTGGAATTATAACAAAAACAATAATACCCTAAACGTGTGTTGGTCTTAAAACGGTAAAAATATGACAATTTTTATCTATATTATGGGTAAAGCAGACTGGACTACTGGGAAAAACTGCAAAACATTATCTAGTTGGTACTAGGTGTCATACAATTGTGCTATGCATAATATAATGAAAAAATGTATATATATATTAAATGAATTAAAGTGAGATGAAAGGATAGATTGAAAGAAGTAATAAAAAGTAGAAAATGAATTGTGACATAAAATTTAATATAAAATAAAACGTTAGCTTTTACAAAAGAAGGTTATTTTGATATAGATTCCAACCGGAAGATGAAAAATATGAGAAAAGATGAAACTTCTGACAGAACGCGCTAAAATATTTGCAGAGGCAGTTATCAATTTGTAACTTCTCGAACAATAGCTGCAATAAAATGCCGGTAAAGACGGAATCGATAGTCGTAAAAATTTCAAGCGGATAAAAATTTTATCGGTGCCCTTTTAGATCTCCCTAGAAAAACATAAATCGCTAATATTTGGACGACGTTTCGTCGGTGTCAAAATTGGAATCGGGTTTTACGTTAACAGTAATAAATTAGCGCTGTCAATGTACACAGTGTGGGCAATGCAATGCATTAACAAAACCCTTTAGCTATGTCAGAGATACGAGTATTTATTTTGAAAGCAGATTATAATGAATTTTGGACGGTGTTCTGCAAATAATACGTCACAAACGTAAACAAATTTTAGCACTTAGTTGTAGACGGTGCTCAATTCTCGTATGCAACGGCAACATTCATCGTACCTCCTTACACTTGAAGAAATATGTGCTGGTATTAATTTTTTTTATCCGTTGAAAAGTGGCTCGAAGAAGAGGTGCATCTTTTTCACAAACACTCGAGAGAAAATAAATCTTACTTCCGAACCTCTCAAGGTTATTAAATTTCCGTACGAAAGCGCCTGCGCCTCCCCTAATTATCGTCTTAATTGCCAGCGTTTTCGCGAAGGAGGTCAGTATCAACCCCAAATCCTTTATGTCCTTTCTTAATTACCCTCGGCCGGTTAATCTAAATTTCTAAGATTGCCTTCTCCGATTTGAGTATCCGGTTATCTTCCCAGAGGCGGAACTGTAAATCTATTTTAAATAATTTTCAAGCGATTTCATGCTTGGCTTAGCATAATAGAAACACTCTTTTCGATTAAATTAATTCCATAATTAATCAGAACTAAAATATTCTAGTAGATATAATAATAAATTACAAGTATACAAGTATGCAACCAATACCAATACTGCGATATTGGTTGCATACTTTCAATGATGACGTCGGGTACGATAATTAATTAACACACTGTATATTTTATTTTAGCGCCTTGATAGATAAATGATGTTTGTTGTGAGTGGTTATTGTTTTCTGTTGTTTTTACGGAAATCGAAAACAGATATGGCATTTTAAAATAATTGACGCTATCGGCGATATGTAAATACATAAACTGGGAAACGTAATGGGTTTTGTATCACAAAAGTTTAAACTTTATTAGATTGCCACGGCGTGCGGCAATTTGGCACTGTATTTTATGATCGGTTTTCGACGTAGATTTTTCAGTTAAAATATATTTGGTTCAAGAGGTGTAATTTCTATTTTCCTATAATACACCGTTGGGGCGCTGGTGTGGCCATAAAGTCATTAGCGATTTCATTAAAATATACATATCCACTAGTAGGGTTGGTAAATATTTTTGTTTATTAAATTTCAAGTGAAATATACGATAGAAGATGCGTTAATAATAAATATCCGTAGAAATTCGAATTGAGTATTTTATTTTCGACGCAACAAAATACGGGAATGAAAATTTAATAAACCCACGGGCAAAAGCTACAAAAATATCCGTGGAAAATCCTCGATTTGTTGTGAAAAAAGACCAAACAATTGAAAAATCGAGTCGAATAACTTACTGGGGAGCTTTTCAAAGGACACTCTTCGAAAAAATAAACTTGTTCACAACTTTCCCACAAAACTTTTTTTCAGTCCATCCACAAGGCTGCGATAAAATGTATTCCCTGACAATAACCGTTTCGCTCCCCAATTTGGCACAGTAATGTTCCTGGGTACTCCTCGCCGAAATTTTCAGCGCGCGAGTTTTCCGATTTTCAAAATTACCTCGTTATCGCGTCACGTCGCGTTCTTTAAAACGCGCAGGCATCGACTGAACATCTCGTGCCAGAACTACTCTATGGAGGCTGAACTTGGTGGCGCTTGCGCCCCCGTGTACTCGCTCGCCACCAAAACCAACTCGAACAGACGGTTTCTGCGGTCACAAAATTTGTATGACATAATAACCAAGCCTTTCGCCTGATCTAATGGTCTTATTAAACCGAATTAGCTTATTAATCCTCACCTTCACTTATAACATACCTCAAAAGACCCCATCATATCTTTCAGAATTCATTCCTTTTAAATCTAATAATTTTTTTTTGATTTATTTAAATTTATTTATAATAAATATATTACACGTTGTTTAAAACCCCACAAATAATTGTTAATTAAATATGTCGTTCAATTTTCGTTAATTAAGCTTGCGATGCTTTATCATTGGTTCGCTGTTTTAATTGATACCATGAAAGAATCAGATATTGAAATTAATGTGTATTAAAAATTACTAAAAATTATTAAAAATTATTAAAAATTATTAAAAATTATTAAAAATTATTAAAAATTATTAAAAATTATTAAAAATTATTAAAAATTATTAAAAATTATTAAAAATTATTAAAAATTATTAAAAGTTATTAAAAATTATTAAAATATAAGTACGAAGGCTTTCACGGCTAGTATGAATTGCACTAAAGTGAGTTACTTCGAACTAGTAGTACATCCGAAACGTTAAACCTTTTCTTAAATACGCACCCGAAAGCTTCTAGTGTTAGTTCTAATTTTAGTTCAAATTGTTAAAAATTAATATAATTAAATTATAAATGATTAAAAATATATATAAATTATTAAAATTATAAATTATATTATATTATTATTAAATATATTATTAAATTATTCAAAAAAATTATTATTATTAAAATTACACTGGTCTACAGTGGTTTTATACAGCGAAGTAAATAGAGAGAAAAATGTCGAAAACATATGTTATATTTCCATAAAACACCTTTTATGAGCTTTTCTTTTATAATTTTTCATAGGACCATCTCTTTTTAAAGACTAGCAGTAATCTGCCATCTTGTAACAATCCCATCGACCCTGATACCTTTCCTCCATCAGTTTTAGATCCTGGTGGAACCGCTCTCCTTACTATAAACTCCTAAATTATCCGGAAATTTATCCAGATGATTGCAGAGATAGTGTAGCTTGATACTCATATTTGCTCCTAGAGTCTGAAAGTTTGTCCTTGCCCAACGCTTTTACAAATTGCTTTATCATTCCTAACTTAATATGTAATGGTGGAAGTATGATTTTATCTCTGCCACCAACGGCTCCCTTATTATATTGGCTTTACCGACACTTAAATAATTTCTTACAAGCCAAACATCTTGTTAGCAATGAAGTTGCTTTGCTCTACTGTCCCACATACAAATGAAGCAAGGGTATTTCGTGTATCCACTTTGTTGACCAAGTAAAAAATCCAAGTAATTATTTTTTTCTAAAACTAATTTAACATTTTCATATTCTTCTTTGAGTTTTGAATGGGCAATTGGAATTGATGCAAATTTATTTCCATTGTGCAGTAAGACGCATTTTAAACTTCTTTTACAACTGTCAATAAAAATGCGCCATTCAGTAGATTTGTATTCTTTTAAACGCATGTCTAGAAGCAGTTTCGCGCTATCATTATAAGTCTCTTCGAAAAAGTCTGTGATATTTCTTTTTTGTTTTTTTGTTATATAAACACCAAATACAATATTTACACTTTCTTCGTGACGAACTCATGTTTTAAAAGACAAGGCAAATATATTAGATTATTAACACATGACAACTTATCCAGATTCACGTTTAAGTACTTCAATATTGTGAAATAACTGAGATCTCAGCTGTTCTGTAGAGCAAAGGGTCTGAGAGTGGGGATCACGTGATGTTTGTATGCGCGAAAAAGTTGCGCAGAAGGCCGATAATTGTTCAAAATATAAGATATGTAAAAAATCATAAAAAACAACAGCACATTTAGTACTTTCATGAATATATTCGTAATCTGGGCACTTGAAAACATAAAAATATGCAAAGATATCCAAGGCAACATAGAAAAAATTTTTTGTCGTAGAGCTGTGTTATTAATGTATTAAAATTATGGTTGGGATGGTTTATGATTAGTTCGCCGTTTCAATTAATATCATGAAAGAATCAGATATTGAAATTAATGTATTAAAATGGTCCACGAGTATACTATACAAGTTGTAATACGTAATAATTTCGATTTAGCGAACGACCATCTCTTTTCAGGGCCCACAAAGCCGACATCCGCGTCAAAGCGAAAGCGTAGCGGGAGTGTGATTGATTACTCTAGCAAAATAAACGGTTTCGGTGTAAACCAACACGTGTCACACATTTTAGGGCGCACACTTCCGCCAATGGTCAATAGGGGCCGATAAAAAAAAAACAACCATCGACATTTTGCTATAAAACTCGGAAACTCCTCATGGATATTCCATGAGAATTTTTTTCCACGAAAATGAAACTTCGTAGTATATTCATTGGATTTTTTTAAAAAGCAAAACTATTTTGCGATTAATGAAGAATTAGGTTTCTAGAGGCGATGCGGAAAATTACAACAAACTTCACTGGTAGTATTAAAAATGCAAGGGTAAAGTTGCAAGTTGGGAATAGGGGTAACTATGTATCATCGGGAATAACTTTTAAGTTGTTAAATAATATACGACCGTCGACGCTCGGTGGGCTTATTACTTGAAGTGTTGGTTATTACGCAATCTGTTTGCAAATTTTCGTAAGAATTGTAATTTTAAGAGTTTTTTGCGTTTTCTAATGTCTATCGGAATAACCTTCGTATAGTGCCAACCAAGTTTTAGACTCAAAAAAAACGCACCCAACTTTTAATTAAGTTTACAAGAAAGGACTTTTAACTGCACCCGGCTTTAGTTTAGGTATCAATTCAACCCATTTAATCTCTTCTTTTTTCCCATCAAACAAAAAAGAATACAAAATTACAAGATTTTATTTAAAAGAAAAGGAAAATCGTTTTGAGTCCATATTCTTTTATTATTATCATCGATATCTATAGTGTGGAGAGCGCGTGAAAACCAAAATCCGGGTCGTATCATGGCCACTTTAATTTCGGAAAGGATCCCCTGTATTTGTTTTCATTCACGGGGTCGTAAATGTCAGAGTCAACCGCGAGGGGATCGAGTCCCGAAAGTGGAGACTGCGTCGTCGTCGTCGTCGTAGGGAGCTCCGTCTGTCCCGGTTTCACCAGGGATACACCATCGGCCCCCAAGCGCATACAGTCGAAGTGGAGGACCAATACTGTTGCGCTCTGTAGCCTAGTCTGGAAGTCTAAACACATATGTAAATTCCTCCCCTCCACGTGAACATCGAATAATTTTACACAGAAATCTACTCCTGGGATGTAAGGTATCGGAACGGGCACGCAAAAGGGTGGTGGGTTTCGAGCTACAAAGAAAACCGTCAGACTCCCACATCGCTTCGAATTCGATGGAACTCACCTGACAACGAATTCTCGAACACCGAGTTGTTGTTGAATTGCATGTTCATCGTAATTCCAAATATGTTTGGATCGTAACCCAAACTCATACAACCTTAAAAAATAAATACAAAAATAATCAAACATATATATTCAATTTTTAATCACTAATTATAACACGTCATAAGTGGATTGCAAAGTCTGATATCTAGTTAAACCGAGGTCGTTTGCGGCCGAAGCATTACATTTGATACCATATCGATGCAATCTCGATACACCTAATATTGCAACACCTCGGTCGCAACCAGCTTCGGCTTAACTTACATTGAAGAATGTACTAGTATCTAGTTAAGCCGAGGTCGTTTGCGGCCGAGGCATTACATTTAATACCATATTGCTACAATTGATACAATATCGGTGTAATATTAAACAACATATATTATAATACTTCGGCATAACGTAGATTGAAGACTATACCGTTATCTACTTAAGCCGAGGTCGCTTGCGGGCGAGGCGTTACAATTGATACCATATCGATGCAATATTAAGCAATATATACTGCAACACCACTGTCGTAAGCGACTTCGGATTAACTTGTATTGAAGAATGTACTGGTATCTAGTTAAGCCGAGGTCGCTTGCGGCCGAGGCATTACATTTAATACCATATTGGTACATCGTTGGACAAAACGGATTACATGACCTGATTAAGCCGAGGTCGCTTGCGGGCGAGGCGCTACAATTGATACAATATCGGTGTAATATTAGACAACGTATATTATAATACCTCGGCATAACTTAGATTGAAGAATATACCGTTATGTACTTAAGCCGAGGTCGCTTGCGGGCGAGGCGCTACAATTAATACCATATCGATGCAACATTAGGTAATATATACTGCAACACCACTGTCGTAAGCGACTTCGAATTAATTTGTATTGAAGAATGTACCGTTATGTACTTAAGCCGAGGTCGCTTGCGGCTGAGGCATTACATTTAATACCATATTGGTACATCGTTGGACAAAATGGATTATATCACTTGATTAAGCCGAGGTCGCTTGCGGGCGAGGCGCTACAATTGATACAACATCGGTGTAATATTAGACAACATATATTATAATACCTCGGCATAACTTAGATTGAAGAATATACCGTTATCTACTTAAGCCGAGGTCGCTTGCGGGCGAGGCGTTACAATTGATACCATATCGATGCAATATTAGGCAATATATATTGCAACACCACTGTCGTAAACGACTCCGGCTTAACTTGCATTGGAGAATGTACTGGTATCTAGGTAAGCCGAGGTCGCTTGCGGCCGAGGCATTACATTTAATACCATATTGTTACATCGTTGGACAAAATGGATTACATCACCTGATTAAGCCAAGGTCGCTTGCGGGCGAGGCGCTACAATTGATACAATATCGGTGTAATATTAGACAACATATATTGCAATACCTCGGCATAACTTAGATTGAAGAATATACCGTTATCTACTTAAGCCGAGGTCGCTTGCGGGCGAGGCGTTACAATTGATACCATATCGATGCAATATTAAGCAATGTATACTGCAACACCACTGTCGTAAGGGACTTCGGATTAACTTGTATTGAAGAATGTACTGGTATCCAGTTAAGCCGAGGTCGCTTGCGGCCGAGGCATTACATTTAATACCATATTGGTACATCGTTGGACAAAATGGATTACATGACCTGATTAAGCCGAGGTCGCTTGCGGGCGAGGCGCTACAATTGATACTATGTCGGTGTAATATTGGACAACATATATTATAATACCTCGGCATAACTTAGATTGAAGAATATACCGTTATCTACTTAAGCCGAGGTCGCTTGCGGGCGAGGCGCTACAATTAATACCATATCGATGCAATATTAAGTAATATATACTGCAACACCACTGTCGTAAACGACTCCGGATTAACTTGCATTGAAGAATGTACTGGTATCTAGTTAAGCCGAGGTCGCTTGCGGCCGAGGCATTACATTTAATACCATATTGGTACATCGTTGGACAAAATGGATTACATCACCTGATTAAGCCGAGGTCGCTTGCGGGCGAGGCGCTAAAATTGATACAATATCGGTGTAATATTAGACAACATATATTATAATACCCCGGCATAACTTAGATTGAAGAATATACCGTTATGTACTTAAGCTGAGGTCGCTTGCGGGCGAGGCGCTACAATTAATACCATATCGATGCAATATTAGGTAATATATACTGCAACACCACTGTCGTAAGCGACTTCGGTTTAATTTGTATTGAAAAATGTACTGGTATCTAGTTAAGCCGAGGTCGCTTGCGACCGAGGCATTACATTTAATACCATATTGGTACATCGTTGGACAAAACGGATTACATGACCTGATTAAGCCGAGGTCGCTTGCGGGCGAGGCGCTACAATTGATACAATATCGGTGTAATATTAGACAACGTATATTATAATACCTCGGCATAACTTAGATTGAAGAATATACCGTTATGTACTTAAGCCGAGGTCGCTTGCGGGCGAGGCGCTACAATTAATACCATATCGATGCAACATTAGGTAATATATACTGCAACACCACTGTCGTAAGCGACTTCGAATTAATTTGTATTGAAGAATGTACCGTTATGTACTTAAGCCGAGGTCGCTTGCGGCTGAGGCATTACATTTAATACCATATTGGTACATCGTTGGACAAAATGGATTATATCACTTGATTAAGCCGAGGTCGCTTGCGGGCGAGGCGCTACAATTGATACAACATCGGTGTAATATTAGACAACATATATTATAATACCTCGGCATAACTTAGATTGAAGAATATACCGTTATCTACTTAAGCCGAGGTCGCTTGCGGGCGAGGCGTTACAATTGATACCATATCGATGCAATATTAGGCAATATATACTGCAACACCACTGTCGTAAACGACTCCGGATTAACTTGCATTGAAGAATGTACTGGTATCTAGTTAAGCCGAGGTCGCTTGCGGCCGAGGCATTACATTTAATACCATATTGGCACATCGTTGGACAAAATGGATACATCACCTGATTAAGCCGAGGTCGCTTACGGGCGAGGCGCTACAATTGACACAATATCGGTGTAATATTAGACAACATATATTATAATACCTCGGCATAACTTAGATTGAAGAATATACCGTTATCTACTTAAGCCGAGGTCGTTTGCGCGCGAGGCGCTACAATTGATACCATATCGATGCAATATTAGGCAATATATATTGCAACACCACTGTCATAAGCGACTTCGGTTTAACTTGCATTGAAGAATGTACTGGTATCTAGTTAAGCCGAGGTCGCTTGCGGCCGAGGCATTACATTTAATACCATATTAGTACATCGTTGGACAAAATGTATTACATCACCTGATTAAGCCGAGGTCGCTTGCGGGCGAGGCGCTACAATTGATACAACATCGGTGTAATATTAGACAACATATATTATAATACCTCGGCATAACTTAGATTGAATAATATACCGTTATCTACTTAAGCCGAGGTCGCTTGCGTGCGAGGCGCTACAATTAATACCATATCGATGCAATATTAGGTAATATATACTGCAACACTGTCGTAAGCGACTTCGGATTAACTTGTATTGAAGAATGTACTGGTATCTAGTTAAGCCGAGGTCGTTTAAGGGCGAGGCGCTACATTTGATACCTCATAAAAAATGTATTAAAAAATAATATAATAATAAAAAATATTATATATTGATATGAAAATATCTATATATTTGAGAAATGTATAGAAAATGTGGTAGTATAAGGATTGGAAACTCTCCAAGTACTCACTTTAGAGAAAAATATGGGATTCCCAGGAACAAATTATTCTTCGTTCGAATTTAATTAATTTGAAAGCCGTTTTATCGAGGGGCATTTCGTTCGGTTCGTTTTTTCCAAACAAAATTATCGCGTGATTTCGCTGAATAAGGTAATAAATGCCGCCGATTTGGAAGAAACGTAGGTGCGAACGCACCGGATCGCGCGCGGGTTGTTTAATGGCGCATGATTTATCTTGAGCCCATAAAATGGGGGACCCGAAGATGAAAAATCTGTATCGGGCCGTAAATCCTTACCTTCTTGGTTGAAGTTCAGCTGCGGCATATTGAATCCCGCGCAGCAACTGCAAGCCAAACCCTGACAGGAGCAGCCGTTCGCCCTATATCCGAATATTCTATATTTGCCGACGGTTTTGGTTAAATATTGCCCGCTGGCCATTGAACTTGACAAATTGTTTCGAATGGACGTCATCTTGTATGGGATACCAGTGCCCACCTCGTAGTATATTGATACAGGAAATGTATCATCTGAAAATTTTAAAAATAAACAAAATATTACATGAATAGTTAAATTTTATTTATTTAACTTTTGATGAATCTTTAAGGAAAAGGTTGAGCATTATTTAAAACAACGTCGTGAAGAAATAAAATAATTTTACCCTTCGTGTTTCGCCATAATTAAAGTTTATGAAAGGGTCTCCCACTCTTACCACAATGAAATTTTCTCAAATTGTTCCCTTTTAAGGAAAACCTAGTAATAAGGCTCGAGGAAGAATTGAAATATATTTTTGTACCCCGGGTTGCTTTATGGCACTTCCGTGGACCAAAGTTAATTGGCGCCCCCATCTTGGATTAGGACGGCGAGGTCAAAACTTATTTTAACAAAGTCTTTTTCATTATACACACTTTCTTTTTAACTTTTTTACTACGGCTTCTATTTTGTATAACTTCTCTCTTTTTAGCATAAGTTTTACTCTTAATATACTTACCACTAAAAGAATATTCATTATGAGAACTTATCAACGAAAACAAACTAAAAACACACAACAAACGGAAGACGCACATTTTGAAACACCCAGTGCGTGAGAGAACCTCGGAAATTTCGAGCTTTAACACTCGACTTCCCGTTAAATACATATTCAATATCGGTAAGCAATTATTCTACTTTAAATTCGTGTTGACCAACTTTTTAAACCCATCACGTTTCAAGTTTCTCTTTTTACGTTTACTAATTTCTTTTTTTAAATGGTAAATAAAACTCTTTTAAACTATAAATAAACCGTTTTATTACACAGACATCTCATAATCTTCATCTGTCGTAAACAAAATATCTCCATCTCGAGTAATGGTGGCTGTTAAGGGGGTCTTTCGGAGAAGTTTATCCTTTTCATTCAAAGGAACGTTTCTAGCACTATCATCGTAGTCCTCGTCAGTTTGGTCTTCGGTGTCTATAAGATTGGGGGGTAAACCACCCCCGTCCTCTTCATGGACAACAGCGACCCCATTCGCCCCCAACCGCACGCAGTCGAAAGACCACTCCAAGAGGGTGAAATCTTCCCAACTGGCTTCGGCATCTATGCACATGTGAATGTTACGCCTCGCAAAGTACACGTTCGAGAACTGCACGCAAAACTCGACGAATCGAAACCTGGGCACCGGGACGCAAAACGGCGCCGGGTTTTTGCCTGGAAGATCAAAGACACCAATTAGGCTAATTGCGGTTGACTTCCGGTTGGGAAGTACCCCAATTGACATGAAATTTTACTCAAAGTCTGCAAGTTCAATTTACCATTAAACAATGTATTAAAAAAAAAATTAACCCATCAATCCACAATTATCACTCCATAAAAAAATTTAAAAAAAAAACATTGTTGAGAGGTATACTAAACGATGGAAGTTACTTCTGAGTTTTGACCCAGTTCGAAGTCATAAAGCAGCAGTTTCCTAATTAGACGATTTTGCACGTTTATCTTTGTGGCGTAGAAATCACACGAGAAGCGGAGAATAGGTTACTTTTCAGCACATCAACTACCACTTCTCACCAATTAGCTTTGACGGTTTTAACTTGTTCATCTCGTAAAATAAACGATTCATTTATGTGAACATTGCAAAACTTTATTTAATATTTTTATTTATATAAGTCTAAAGTTCTTGGTGTAGTGTTAGTGTTAGCTCTAGTTTTAGTTTTCAAAAAATTAATCTTAATAATAATTATCTTTACTTACCAGAAAAACTGTTTTTATACAAAACATTATCATTGACAGCCATTTTAACATTTAAAGCAAACTCATCGGGTTCGTAAGTAATATTCAAACAAGCTTTTTGCTTGAAAAACCCTTGTAGTACATTCATGCAACAACCGCATTCTCCCTTAGCGCATTTACAAGGCATTCTTAACCCAGATAAGAACGGTCGGCGCGTAGTTGTGTTTAACACCGTTGTCGTTGCGGTCGTCAAGTTGCTCTGTTTTGTCAAAGAACTGACAGCTGAAACTGAATTCTTTGAGACATGGTTCCAGTTTCGCCCGCATTACTTACAGCTAACGAGGAGAAAGAAAGCCAAGACTCTGGACAACATCCTCGCTGTGTAACACTTTCGCGCACACTGACATTTCTTTTCAAGTTCAATGGTTTATATACCGCCGATGGCGGTGTGGCACTTTCTTTTTACTCCGAAACAAGAAATCAACGACGTGCGGGTTCCTGTTTCGTAAAATAAATCAATATCAACATGTTTTACGAGTATTTATTTCATATTAAATAAAATCATGCACAATTTCATGCATTTTTTTTATTTATTTACATTTTATTTTATTTTATTTTATTTTATTTTATTTTGTAGACTTAAAAAAACACAAATAAATAAATAAATAATCATAAATTAAGGTGATTTCTCTAACTACGCATATCTTTGCTTTGCCTAGAACGTCTAAATTTTCCGCTTCTAGCCTCTTCGTCATCTTCGTCTTCGTCTTCTTCGCTATCTTCATCATCATCGTCCCCAAAGATATCATCATCGTCATCGTCGTCCTTTTTATCATCATCTTTACTATTCTCCTCGCTATCATCGTCGGAAACGATATCAGCGACTCCATCAATAACATCATCAACAACATCTTTAGGCTCCTTTTTATCAGTAATGTTGGTGTTAACCTTTAATTCTTCGATTTTTGTCGCATTTGATTTAACGTCTTCATCATCATCTAAAACATCTTCGACCATTGAAGTTATTGGATCCTCTTCGGATTCATCTTCCTCTTCATTTTTGATTATGTAATTTTGTTCTGGTTCTTCGCCTTCTTCTATGTATTCGTCTTCCGTTGTTGTTTCAACTTTCAATGTTGTTTCATCGGCGGGAATTGGTGTGGAATCGGTTACAACTTGGACTGTGGCTTCATAAGAAGTTATTGTTATTGGAGTGTCGTGAATTACTGTTTTGTTTGTTTTGGCATCATCTGGAATTTCGTTTATTTTAACATTTATTATTTCGCTCATTTTGTCGGTTAATGTATCATTTATTTTATTATTTTCTTTTGTGGTATCATTAATTGTGTCGTTTTTGATATCTTTGGTTGGTTGTTCAACTTCATTGGGAGGTTCTGGTACTTGGATCATTTGTACAGCTTGTAAATTTGGAATGGTGGTTGTTTCAATGATTTTTTTCGTAACGATTTTTTTCGTGGTGGTTGTAATTTTCGGTTTGGGCGTGGTTGCTTTAGGAGTAACTTTTCTTCTTAATGGTTTTCTTGTTGATGCGTTTTTAAGGGGAGCTTTGGTTGATGTTATTTTTTTAACTGGTTTTTTGACATCATCATCTCCGTCGCTTTCGGCTTCTCCAACGAATAATCCGTCGATGAAATCATCGTCTAAGAGGCTGAAAGATTCGTAATCGGCTGCTTCGACGTCGTTGTCTTCTTCGTCGTCGTCGTCGTCTTCGTCATCGTCGAAATCGAAGTCGTCTTCGTCGTCGTAATCGTCGTCGTCGTCGTCTTCGTCGTCGTCGTCGTCGTTGTCTTCTTCTACGGCGGGGAGAGGTTGAGGTGGTTGTACTTTAAGACCGTCGGCGCCAAATTTGAAGCAAGATACTCTTAGAGCAGCTTCGATGTCGTTCAAAGCTCGTAATTCCAAACCGAGGCAAGCGTTGAAATCTTCTCCTTGGCGCTTTATGTTGTAAACTCTTCCGCAAAATTTGGAGACACCTCCAGGAAGTGGCATACAAATGGGTTTAGGTCTTCTTCCAGAAATGGTGGTGTTGGTTAAAACTCGCTCTCCGAAACTCATGGATATGGCAAGTTTATCACCATTGAGGTATTGAAGCGAAGCGCATCCTGGGCCTCGAAGTGAAACGACGGGAATGTTAAAATCTCGGCAACAGTTGCATAATTTTGCGTTGCAGCTGCAATATCGGTTAGGTTGGTTTTGGTCTGTTTGTCGATTTTTGTGGGATAATTTGGTGCTGGCGACCGCCCTGCGGGCACCTCGAAGATGACTCCCTTCGGAATCTGCAAAATCAACAAGCGATCAATCGTGGCGATCCGTAAATTCTAGCAGCGATTGTTTGTTTATTGTGGGCCCTAGGCCCTGTAATTTTAGCATTAGTATTCGAACTAGATTTGCCGCGGCGAGCCGCTTAGCGTATCGGCTGACGCCAATGCGGCTTTCAATGTTTGAATATGGATATACATTTACGAAAATAATATCCTAGGACTTACCGATTACCCTCGATGCGGCGAACGCCAGGAATACAAATATCAACAGAAGCTCGAATATAAACGACAACTTCATTCTGGTCGCCCTACAAAAAAGTCTTTTGTTAAAATCAATTAATAAAATTATTGTAAATTAATATTAAATCATGCATAGTTCATGCGTATTTATTTCAAATATTGATTCTCCACTCCCAATTAGTGCTTTCTGAATTGAATAAAGGCAGTGTTTGGTAAATGATGTGATTGTAGTTTTAATTAATGTTGAATATAATACACCATACAACAACAGTATGTAATTTCATCAAAAAGATTTTTTAATTACCAGAAACTAGAATGACATATTCAGTTGGCAAATAAATTATTTAACCGCATCAATAATTAGAACGTTTTGATAACGAATATATTTTATTTATAAAAAAATATTTAATTTGTGATGTAAATGTTGACATAATTTTTTGAATGAATATTTTCTTCTTAAAAGCGGGCCCAAATTAACATTTCATTCAACATTCTCGTCGGTTTACTTTAGCATATTAATTATGAAATAAAACGGAAGAGTACCGTATAATCGAGACGAATAAAAATTATTAACAAAAAAATAAATAATAAATAAAAATAAAGTGAAACGGGCCAAATGATTGAGTTTAACTGTCCATTCCACAGTTTATTTTATTTTTAAAAACAATCAACAAAGTTTATACTTACGGAATAAAAATAAAAAAAAACTTAATTAAAGTATTAAAAAATTAAGCACTGCAGCACGGAACAATTGATTTAGTTATAATATGCCTCGAGGACAGGTGCACACTGGAGTACCGAATGTATATCTGTTGCGCAGTCAACTTAACCAATGGGTTCTTGGGCGAAGTGGAAAGAGGGGGCCGTAAAATGTCGGTCAAATCAGTTAGGTCATTGAAGAAAGCATTTCTTTCTTCCCCTCCACCAAATAATTGAGCACCTCGCCTCGCTTCTCACCGCGTAAACGACGAAGAAGAAACGGTTCTAGAACCGGCGGAAGAGTCACTTTCCAAGGTTTTCGATTCGATTTTAAGTTTTACGCAACCATTTTACCCGCTATCAGATGGCCAACGTTCGCGTAACAATGAAAAAAAAACATCATCAAACATGCTTTTTTTTCTGCGTCCGCACTTTCGCAATAACAATTTGCGTCACTTTTTTCTAGCTTTACCCCGTTTGTTGTATATTTTTCAATTCCCGTACGTGCCCCACAAATGTCCCACGCAATTCCACAGATTTTTTCAAATTAAACTAGCCAATGATTGTTTAATAATTGATATTTTAACTTCTAATTTCTTATTTAAAACTAAAATTAAGTATGTTATAAAAATTAACTTATTAAAGAGTGTCATTCAAAAGCTTCGAGTTTACCTAAATCTAGATTATATAAAATAATTACAGTCGATTCCGCGTAATTGGGACACATCGGGACCGAGGCATTTTGTCCCAACGTACGCATAAATTAAAGTTTCGATTTCGTTCTTTGAAATTTGTCCCAAATAAGCGGTTGTCCCGATTAACCGGTGTCCCAATTAAACGGAATCAGCTGTATTATACATACTTTCCTATATATACAGGATGTACCGTAACTTTTTTTGGTTCCACTATTCGTAGTCGGCCGAGATTATTAAAATATTCCCACGGCCGCCCCAAGTGTCACGAATAATACTTAGGGCGGCCGACGTCTTCGGAGTCGGCCGCCCCATATAGCTCAAACAATACAATAAGTCTACCCTGCTTGAAATTTATGGAAGAAACAATCTCGGACGACTTCGAAGACGTCGGCCGCCCAAAATATTGTTCATGATATTTAGGGCAGCCGACGTCTTCGAAGTCGGACGAGATTGTTTCTTATATCATGAACAATACTTGAGGCGACCGTGGGGTGCCACGAATAATTTCTTATTTTAATAATCTGGGCCGACTTCAAAGACGTCGGCCGCCCGAAGTATTGTTCGTGATATAAGAAACAATCTCGGCCGACTTCGAAGACGTCGGCCGCCCCAAGTATCATGAAGAATACTCACGGCGGCCGTTAATTAATTATCGTAACCGACGTCATTATTGCAAGTATGCAACCAATACTGCAAATCGCATATTGCAATACCAATACTGTGATATTAGTTGCATACTTGTAATGATGACGTCGGGTACGATAATTAATTAACACACTGTATATAGTTTAATATACGAATGTACTGGT